GTGTTCGGACCCTTTGCTATGAGACTCGAAATTGAGCTCAGGTGCATTCTGTTTCCATTGATTATCCTTGAGATGTTTCTACAACTTGGTTGGAGTCCACCTATGGTAAATTGATTTGGAAAGGCACACACCTGTCTATATATGGTCCCACAGTTGACAGTGCAGGTCAGAGCAAAAACCAAGCCATGAGGTTGAAGGAATTGTTCGTAGAGCTCCGAGACAGGATTGTGTCGAGGCACAGATCTGGGGAAGGTAACCAAAAAATGTGTAGCAGCATTGAACGTCCCCAAGAACACAGTGGCTTCCATCATTCTTAAATGGAAGAAGTTTGGAACCACCAAGACTATTCCTAGAGCTGGCCGCCCGGCCAAACTGAGCAATCGGGGGAGAAGGGCCTTGGTCAGGGAGGTGCCAAAGACCTGATGGTCACTCTGACAGAGGTCTAGAGTTCCTCTGTGGAGACGGGAGAACCTTCCAGAAGGACAACCATCTCTGCAGCAAAGTACAGAGAGATTCTTGATGAAAACCTGCTCCAGAGCACTCAGGACCTCAGAATGGGGCGAAGGTTCACCTTCCAACAGGACAATGACCCTAAGCACACAGCCAAGACAACGCTAGTCAGCTAGCTTGCTAAATAGAAATGATCTTAAGGATCGGAGCCTTTTTTTCAATTTTCGCCTAAAATGACATACCCAATCTAACTGCCTGTAGCTCAGGACCTGAAGCAAGGATATGCATATTATTGATACCATTTGAAAGGAAACACTTTGAAGTTCGTGGAAATGTGAAATTAATGTAGGAGAATATAACACATAAAATCGGTAAAAGATAATACAAACAAAAAAACATGCGTTTTCAATATAATATTGCAGTTTAGGCGCAATTTAGATTTTGGCCACTAGATGGCAGCAGTGTGTGTTCAAAGTTTCAGATTGATCCAGTGAAGCATTGCAATACTGGACTATTTTGTATCAAGTCTGCCCAAATGTGCCGAATTGGTCAATTGATACATTTTCAACTACATAACTATATAGAACATACAAAAATGATGTGGTAATATAAAATGTAAGTTTACACACTCCCAGGAATGTCATACATGATGAATCATTATCTTATACACTAACTTTCACACATCTAGATGGCCGGACGGAGTGGGTGTGGAACCAGAGACAACAAGGGTTCAAACTGTAGAACCCAGTTCCTACATTTGAATATAAAAATTGATTTTATCAAACAAAACTATGCTACATTTAATCTCTGGGACCCTCAGGATGACAAATCAGAGCAAGATAACTGAATGTAAGTACATTATTTACCTTCAGAGGTGAATGTATCAAAGCAGTTGCCGTGCTAAGTTTTTTTTTTTGTGCACTCTCCTCAAACAATAGCATGGTATTTTTTCACTGTAATTGCTACTGTAAATTGGACAGTGCAGTTAGATTAACAAGAATTTAAGCTTTCTGCCCATATAAGACACGTCTATGTCCTGGAAAGTTTGCTGTTACTTACAACAGTCATGCTATTCACATTAGCGCACGTTAGCTAAACCGTCCCGTATACAGGACACCGATCCCGTAGAGGTTAACTATGACAAAACAATATGCATAATCATTTGTCTCTCCATTAACTACTATATTCCTCTCAACTGTACAGTTTTTGGATGATTCGTTATGACGACTTACATTTGATTCAATCCTTGAATATTTGTCAGCCATCTTTCCTGAAGAACGTCTATGGTGTTTGGTAGCAGAGCATCATATTCGTCATGGGAACCACTCGATATGATTGGTCATCGCCCAGCGTTCGCTGCTTGTTATTTACGTAAAGTTGGGAAATGCAGTTTTTCACCGCCTCCCACTCCACATTAGCACAGCCCAAAGGTCCCACGCCCACTCTGCTCCTCACCGCTTTCCTGCCATTGAAAATGAACGGGAAGCGGTGTTTCACCTAGTGACATCTTATCAAGAGGTCTTGGTCTCCACTCTGTCTGCTGCTAAATTCTGCTCTGAGGAACTCTTTCCCTTATCTCAGCTCTGATGGGCCTCAGCTCACAACTATATCTGCCCCACAGGGCAAGCAGCCACACAGGGAATCCACATTCACAGGTTGGCTACCAAATAAACCCACTAACTGAATGATTCAATTGATGACATATTACAGAGAAATCGATCTATTATATTTAAGTCATTTAGCAGACACTCTTATCCAGAGCCACTTACAGTTAGTGAGTGCCTACATTATTATTTTATATATATATATATTTAGACAAATTTACTGCCCCCCCGTGGGAATTGAACCCACAACCCCGGCGTTGCAAACGCCATGCTCAACCAACTGAGCTACATCCCTGCCGGCCATTCCCTCCCCTATCCTGGACGACGCTGGGCCAATTGTACGCCGCCCCTTGGGTCTCCAGGTCGCGGCCGGCTACGACAGAGCCTGGATTTGAACCAGGATCTCTAGCGGCACAGCTAGCACTGCAATACAGTGCCTTAGACCACTGCGCCACTCGGGAGATATTATATATGTTGGCCTTATATTTCATTATAAAAACAATTATATTTTAATTATAGATGGAGCTTTTAAAAAACGTTATGTTTTAAAACAATCAGAAACGCCAAACAATACTTTTACGTTTCATAAAAATATAATTATAGAGATGTAATTGCATTGGTATTTTAGGTAAGCATAATATAAATATAAATACTTAACATACAATGCAGTAGGCTACAGCTTTATCATGAAATCTGTTATTAATACTTCAAGTTACTTCACTACATATTCGTCGCCAAACCCACTGGCTCCAGGCCATCTATAAATCACTGCTAGGCAAATCCCCGCCTTATCTTAGCTCATTGGTCACCATAGCAACACCCATCCGTAGTATGCGCTCCAGCAGGTATATCTCACTGGTCATCCCCAAAGCCAACACCTCCTTTGGCCGCCATTCCTTCCAGTTCTCTGCTGCCAATGACTGGAACGAATTGCAAAAATCTGTGAAGCTGGAGACTCTTATGTCCCTCACTAACTTTAAGCATCAGTTGTCAGAGCACCTTACCGATCACTGCACCTGTACACAGCCCATCTGAAATTAGCCCACCCAACTACCTTATCCCCATATTGTTATTTATTTTGCTCATTTGCACCCCAGTATCTCTATTTGCACATCATCTCTTGCACATCTATCATTCCAGTGTTAATACTAATTGTAATTATTTTGCACTATGGCCTATTTATTACCTTACCTCCATAACTTGCTACATTTGCACACACTGTATATATATTTTATGTTGTATTTTTGACTTTATGTTTTGTTTTACCCCATATGTAACTCTGTGTTGTTGTTTTTATTGCACTGCTTTGCTTTATCTTGGCCAGGTCGCAGTTGTAAATGAGAACTTGTTCTCAACTGACTTACTTGGTTAAATAAAGGTTAAATAATTGTTTTTTTTTTAAGTATAGAAGTGAATGGGCAAATTTGGTGCATTCACTGATAGTTATCTAAACTGCAATCCAGTTAGCACAAGTGGTGCTAGTATCTCCCTCCTTTCGATGGCTGTCAAGGTAAGATTGGAATCGGTTTCCCTATTTGATTAAAAGTTCAGAGGAAAAGAGCCACTGTGTCTCCGAGTTTGTTTACCTTTACCCAAGGTCCATGACAGGACAGGCTCCTCGGACTTGTGGCATTGTTTAGCAGCTTTGTCGACGGAACAATAATGACCTCTTCGTTCGTTTAAATAGCTGAGCTTATGCCAGGTCATATGTCAGGTAATATGTAAATATAGTGATATCTTTAGCAATGGTGTAATATATAAAACGAAGATTTGAAAAACAGGAAAAAGCTATTTTACAATCAGTGAGGAAAAGTGTGTGTTTGCAGGGGATTCCGGATAGAGAAAACCAAATCTAATTCGTTCAGGGGGAAAAGTAGACCTACAGGATATGAGCCTATATTTCGTTTTGGGCACTTTGCCAAATAATAATAATGCCAATAATAAACAATAGCCTAATTGTATTATAAGAAGATTCATAATACAACTATAATACAATGTATAATTCAATTAGCAATAGGATATTCCCATTAGGCCTCCCATTTACTGTTGATATCGTGTTTGTTTTTTTGTTGTCCTTTTAATAGTTTATTATTTGTTGTAGAAGTACTTGTAGGCCTATACAAGTCTAAATTGAATATGAGTGGTTGCAGCGAGAGGATGTGATCTCACAGCACAATTAAATATTACATCAATTGTTTATTGTCATGTAGGCCTACAAAAAGACCAAGTCCGTCAGAACAATATGATCAATTTAGCGAAATATAAGCTAAACAAAACGAATTAGTTAAACAATAAATGTATTATAGTAGATCAATACACATAGGCCTAGTTAGAATAAAACAACGTTTTTAAGTACAGTAGGCTATAGGCATACACTTCGATTTGCCTGTAGGCCTATTTGTTGATGTTTTCCACAATTAACCTTGCCGTTGCATAACCCAATTTAAACGTATTCACATGTACAGGTAAACAAACAAAAACATGATGAGAGTCGGGTGGTTGTTTTGAAATAGTTTCTCACCATGCTCTTTTACCCGGTAAAGTTGCCTGAAAGTGTCGTTGTTGGAAAGGCCTCTCTATATTTTCCATGATGTGCATGTCAACTATAACGTTATTGGGCATTTGCGTGGCACTTGGAATGGATTGCATACTCGGATAATTGCAATATGAGTTTTAACCATATCCATATAGAGCAGGGTTCTTCAATTCCGGTCCTTGAGGGCCGAAACACTTCTGTTTTTTATTTCTACCTGGTAGTTAATTGCACTCACCTGGTGTCCCAGGTCTGAATTAGCCCCTGATTAGAATGAGAGGATGAAAAACAGAGGTGTTTCGGCCCTCCAGGACCGGAATTGAAGAACCCTGATATAGAGGGTTGAAAGAGCCAATTGTCACGTTGTATGACGCTGAATGAGATCCTCCCATGCACGGTTTGCAGTCCCGAACCAAAGCAGGCACTGCCACCCGTGGTGAAGGCGGGTATCCAGCCAATTCCAGAGATTTGTCTTTGCGGCTTGCACTTGTACCTCCTCTTTTGAAACCAGATTTTGACTTGAGTGGAAGTAAGCTTAAAATAATTGGCGAGGTGGTCCCGCGCTCTGGTGCAGAAATGTACCTCTGCTGTTCGAAACGCCGTTCCAGCTTAAAAACCTGTTTGGGAAAACAGCACCCGTTGCATTCTGCGCAATCTTTGCTTTGGTTTGTCTGGAAAGGTATTGTCTTTTTTCCCATGACAACCCAACGAACCGTCAACACGCATACCTGCAATAATAAGAAATAGCAATGTAAGACCCATAATTTAGGCATAGGCCTACTTCAATTGAAATTGCTTCATGCACTCCTTTAGGCTATACAAAAACTTTGGACCGAAACGTTGTCAATAAAGATGGTAATTGGGAGCATATTCAGTGTGCGGGTCTCAATTTGTTTTGTACAAGTCTACTTTATTAGCCCAGCACCTACGTTTTTTCAGGATGTGCATACGACCATAACGTTTTCTATAGAAGGTAAATAATTCATGACCCTTTACTAAGCATTATTTTATCCTAAAGTTATAGCCTAGGCCTCGTCATTGCCATGAACTTGTTATGTTTGGATAAACATTTCCAAAATGGAATTAGGTTTAGTTATAATTTATTTATTTTAAATAGTAATTTTGTGAATGTCTATTCAACAATGCTGATCATATTGTTAATGGAAATAGATGTTTTGGCATGAGCAACAGGATGAGACACACGCTGTCATGTAGCATCAAGAGGCAGGGTTAGGGCCAATAACGTCTTGACTAATTCGGGGTTGTTTCAAAATTGTTGGTTTTAATTATTAAAAATACATTTACATTTCAATACAGTTCTTTAGCGTCATAGTCCAATGAATGATATTTTTAACTATGGTTTTAATTTACCTGGGTCCCCATTTGTCTCCTCCTCAGCCGCTGAACTACAACAGACCCTCACGATGTCAATGTCCTCCAAACTCAGGCTGCATTTCATCTGTGTTCCCCCCGGAGAAGCACGACTTATCCTGGCTGTCAAGTAAATTGAGGCTCTGAAGCGCACTGTGCATGCGCTGCAGAGACATCGGTGTGTCTTGATCTGGATTAAATCATTCTTGGTGTGTAAAAACATGGTGGTGTTGTTGTTGCTGCTCCAGCTTTAGAATATCCTTTACCGAGAATGGCGTTGAAGTCACTGGACTGGGAAGCATCACTAGTTTATACAGAGGATTATTTGTAAAACAGGTTAAAGTATAGGCTAATGGCATAGATTCAAAGTGGTCAAATCAATCATACAACTGATATGAGCGATGCTCTCCAAATGTTCTTCAATAGGAATGTAATAATTCCTTAGATCTAGGTGAGCTGAGAAGCACTGTCTGAGTCACTGTGAAAGTCAACCTGGTCTCATTATCTTGTGTAGGCCTAGTATTATCAAGGCATAGCATAACTTTCAGCACACAAAAAAAACCTCTCTAAACTGCCATTAGCCAATAGCCAAGCGCATAATGTGTGCATCACTGTCTCATGAACTTTAAACACTCATTTTTATCACACACGATGACACGAGACATCTCACTTCATCTGGGTAAAGAGTGACAAAATGGGGGTGGGGTGCCAGGATGAGGAGATGAGTTATTTGGCCTATATTTTTGCCTTGGTAATGAGGGCGACGATGATGAAGATGATGATGGTGAAGAAGGTTTGGCTGTTCTGATATGGACATTATAACTGAGATTATTGCAGAATAGTTTGTTTAGGTTGATCGTTTTTTTTTTTTTTGGGGGGGGGGGGGGGGGGGGGTTAGGATTTGAAGCGGATATGGTACTAATAGCATCCCAGCAATGCACATTAAATTTTTTACTTTAGTTTAGGTAGGTAGGTCACTAAATTGTTGTTCAGGTCTTGGTTGAGTGATCTTGCCCAGCAAGGTGGATGTCGCCCAGGTTTACATTGATGCTGACTTCCAACAACCTATTAGTATGCTTAGGCCACAACAAACAGTAACATAACACCTGTGGTGCTTTTCCAATGAGACTTTCCCCTACACCAGTGGGTCGCCAGTGTTTTATGTTAATGTTATCCGACTGGATAAAAAAATATATATAATGGCCCCCCCACTTCTAAAACCAAAGTTGCGCCCCTGTACATTACATACAAGTTTTGCTCAAAGCAGCCAACTAAAGTAATGTAGTTCCCACGGGGGGCCAGTATGAAAGATGTATGCACTCACTAACTGTAAGTTGCTCTGGATAAGAGCGTCTGCTAAATGACTAAAATGTAAAAATGTAACGCCTAAGTGATGCAATGTCGGTCCTCCATTTTGACGTCACATACGCTTTTACAGTTACATTATAACATTACACCTTTATACTTGTCACGTTCGTTGAATGACGGGACAGACCAAGGCGCAGCGTGATATACGTACATGTTTATTAAACTTAATAAACACACGACAAAAAAATAAACGAAACGAGAAGTCCTAAGGTAGATCCACAACCAACCTTAACAAGATCCCACAACTAGACAGTGCCAATATGCTGCCTAAGTATTGTCCCCAATCAGAGACAACGAGCGACAGCTGCCTCTGATTGGGAACCACACCGGCCAACATAGATCCACACATACTAGATCGACAACCTAGAAAAAGCACAACAAGGAATATACACACCCTGACTCAACATATAAGCGTCCCCTGAGTCAGGGCGTGACAGTACCCCCCCCCCCCCCCCCCCCCCCAAAGGTGCGGACTCCGACCGCACAACATAAACATAACAGGGTAGGGACCGGGCGGGCATTCTGCCTCGGAGGCGGATCCGGCTCGGGTCGTGATGACCTCTCACTCTCCGCCTCCCTGTTGCGCCCCTGGTCTGGTCTGGACCTCGGGCGCGCTGCTTCCCCTCTCCTTCCTCCCACGATACGCCAGGCCCTGTCTGGACCCTGGTGTGGGAGACCCCGAACCTGGAGAGGGGCTGACGTCATGGTCTGGACTGGAGCCGCTGACCGGAGCTGGACTGGGCACCGGTAGAGCGGACTGCTCTGGCTCCGGAGTGGAGCCGCTGACCGGAGCTGGATCAGGCACCGGTGGAGCGGACTGCTCTGGCTCCGGAGTGGAGCCGCTGACCGGAGCTGGACTGGACCCCGGTGGAGCGGACTGCTCTAGCTCCGGAGTGGCGCAGCTGACCGGAGCTGGATCAGGCACCGGTGGAGCGGACTGCTCTGGCTCCGGAGTGGAGCAGCTGACCAGAGCTGGATCAGGCAATGGTGGAACGGACTGCTCTGGCTCCGGAGTGGAACAGCTGACCGGAACTGGATCAGGCACCGGTGGAGCGGACTGCTCTGGCTCCGGAGTGGAGCAGCTGACCGGTGCCGGACCAGGCACCGGTGGAACGGGCACGGGCCGTGCCGGACTGGACAAACGCACCACTGGTCTGGTGCGAGGAGCAGGCACGGGCCGGACCGGACTAGGAACACGCACCACTGGCTTGGTGCGAGGGGCAGGAACGGGCCGGACTGGCGACGCGCACCACTGGCTTGGTGCGAGGAGCAGGAACAGGCCGGGCCGGACTGGCGACGCTCACCACAGGCTTGGTGCGAGGAGCAGGAACAGGCCGGGCCGGACTGGCGACACGCACCATTGGATTGGTGCGAGGAGCAGGAACAGGCCGGGCCGGGCTGGCGACGCGCACCACTGGCTTGGTGCGAGGAGCAGGAACAGGCCGGGCCGGACTGGCGACGCGCACCACAGGCTTGGTGCGAGGAGCAGGAACAGGCCGGACTGGCGACGCGCACCACCTGCTCCTTCTGCTGCCTAACCAGCTCCTCTCGCCGTGCCTCTACATTTTCCTTCTCCCTTTTAGCCTCCTGTAGCGCCTCCCTCTGAAAGATAACTCCTGCTCCCTCTGAACGAACAGCCCCCGTAACACGGTGGCCTCCTCTCCTAACCTGCAGATCCGCCTTTTCACGGCCTCCTGCTGCCTCGTCGTCCACACCGTGTGCCCCCCCCCCAAAAATGTTCTTGAGGTTGCCTCTCGGGTCTGATCCCTTTCAGGGCCTCCATCTGCCTTGCCAGATCACCTCTCTTATCTCCCGCCAAGTCCATCCTCTCTGCTCCTCCTCGGCACGCTGCTTGGTACTTGTTTGGTGGGATCTTCTGTCACGTTCGTTGAATGACGGGACAGACCAAGGCGCAGCGTGATATACGTACATGTTTATTAAACTTAATAAACACATGACAAAACAAGAAACTAAACGAAACGTGAAGTCCTAAGGTAGATACACAACCAACCTTAACCAGAACAAGATCCCACAACTAGTATGGTCCCCAATCAGAGACAACGAGCGACAGCTGCCTCTGATTGGGAACCACACCGGCCAACATAGATCCACACATACTAGATCGACAACCTAGAAAAAGCACAACAAGGAATATACACACCCTGACTCAACATATAAGCGTCCTCTGAGTCAAGGCGTGACAATACTATTCGTCCCTCAAAATGATACACCCAAAACAATATTGGAGTCATAATGTCAAAGTATTTTTGAGTTCATCAGAATCAATGAAAGAATGTAGCAATTACATATCTACGTGGGATGAATTCATTATTTCATGTAGTATAAATAATATATATAAATAATGTATGCACTCACTAACTGTAAGTCGCTCTGGTGAAGAGCGTATGCTAAATGACGTACAGTGGGGAAAAAATGTATTTAGTCAGCCACCAATTGTGCAAGTTCTCCCACTTAAAAAGATGAGAGAGGCCTGTAATTTTCATCATAGGTACACGTCAACTATGACAGACAAAATGAGAAAAAGAAATCCAGAAAATCACATTGTAGGATTTTTTATGAATTTATTTGCAAATTATGGTGGAAAATAAGTATTTGGTCAATAACAAAAGTTTCTCAATACTTTGTTATATACCCTTTGTTGGCAATGACACAGGTCAAACGTTTTCTGTAAGTCTTCACAAGGTTTTCACACACTGTTGCTGGTATTTTGGCCCATTCCTCCATGCAGATCTCCTCTAGAGCAGTGATGTTTTGGGGCTGTCGCTGGGCAACACTTTCAACTCCCTCCAAAGATTTTCTATGGGGTTGAGATCTGGAGACTGGCTAGGCCACTCCAGGACCTTGAAATGCTTCTTACGAAGCCACTCCTTCGTTGCCCGGGCGGTGTGTTTGGGATCATTGTCATGCTGAAAGACCCAGCCACGTTTCATCTTCAATGCCCTTGCTGATGGAAGGAGGTTTTCCACTCAAAATCTCACGATACATGGCCCCATTCATTCTTTCCTTTACACGGATCAGTCGTCCTGGTCCCTTTGCAGAAAAACAGCCCCAAAGCATGATGTTTCCACCCCCATGCTTCACAGTAGGTATGGTGTTCTTTGGATGCAACTCAGCATTCTTTGTCCTCCAAACACGACGAGTTGAGTTTTTACCAAAATGTTCTATTTTGGTTTCATCTGACCATATGACATTCTCCCAATCCTCTTCTGGATCATCCAAATGCACTCTAGCAAACTTCAGACGGGCCTGGACATGTACTGGCTTAAGCAGGGGGACACGTCTGGCACTGCATGATTTGAGTCCCTGGCGGCGTAGTGCGTTACTGATGGTAGGCTTTGTTACTTTGGTCCCAGCTCTCTGCAGGTCATTCACTTCCCCCCGTGTGGTTCTGGGATTTTTGCTCACCGTTCTTGTGATCATTTTGACCCCACGGGGTGAGATCTTGCGTGGAGCCCCAGATCGAGGGAGATTATCAGTGGTCTTGTATGTCTTCCATTTCCTAATAATTGCTCCCAAAGTTGATTTCTTCAAACCAAGCTGCTTACCTATTGCAGATTCAGTCTTCCCAGCCTGGTGCAGGTCTACAATTTTGTTTCTGGTGTCCTTTGACAGCTCTTTGGTCTTGGCCATAGTGGAGTTTGGAGTGTGACTGTTTGAGGTTGTGGACAGGTGTCTTTTATACTGAAAACAAGTTCAAACAGGTGCCATTAATACAGGTAACGAGTGGAGGACAGAGGAGCCTCTTAAAGAAGAAGTTACAGGTCTGTGAGAGACAGAAATCGTGCTTGTTTGTAGGTGACCAAATACTTATTTTCCACCATAATTTGCAAATAA